TTCTGAAGCCCGGTATTCCACCTGGCTGTCAAATGTTGTACTCGTGAAAAAGAATAATGGAAAATGGAGAATGTGCGTTGATTATACTGATCTCAACCGGGCTTGCCCGAAAGATGCTTTTCCCTTGCCTAACATAGATATGCTGGTCGACAACTCGGCCGGCTACAAAACTTTGTCGTTCATGGACGCCTATTCGGGCTATAACCAAATCCCAATGGCCCTGGGCGACAAACACTGCACGGCATTCATGACCAGCTCGGGCAACTATTACTACAACGTAATGCCCTTCGGACTGAAAAACGCCGGAGCAACTTACCAACGCATGATGAACAGAGTTTTCAACAAACAGATCGGCGACATGCTCGAGGTATATATGGACGACATGATCGTCAAATCCCGAGCAGACACCGACCATGCAACTCATCTCAAGACAGTCTTTGCCCAAGCAAGGCAATGTAAAATGAGGTTCAACCCCGAGAAATGTACGTTCGGGGTTAAGGCAGGAAAATTCCTTGGATTCTATCTAACAGAACAGGGAATCGAAGCCAACCCCGACAAATGCCGGGCATTCTCCGACCTCCCAACACCGACGTCGAAGAAGTCGATACAAATCATGAACGGCATGCTCACGTCGCTGTCCCGCTTCGTCGCGAAGTCCGCTCAGCACGCCCTTCCCTTCTTCAAACTCCTTCGAAAGGAAGCAGCCTTCGAATGGAATGAGGAATGCGAGCAGGCACTACGCCACCTAAAGCAAAGCCTGTCTCAGCCGCCCGTGCTATCTCGACCAGACGACGGGGAACCGCTGTACTTGTACTTGGCCATTTCGAACGAAGCCATCAGTGCAACTCTTGTCCGCGAGACCCCCGACGGGCAGAAACCCGTCTACTTCACGAGCAAAGCCTTACAGGGGCTCGAAAGCAGATACCAGCAGATAGAGAAGGTTGCTCTGGCCCTCGTCAATGCGGCGAGGAGGCTCAGACACTACTTTCTGGCCCACACCATCATCGTGCGAACCGACCAACCGGTGAGGCAACTCTTGGGTCGGCCCGACATGGCGGGCAGAATGTTAAAGTGGTCCTTGGAACTCTCCGAATTCGACATTCAGTACGAAAGTAGGAAAGCCCTGAAAGCACAGGCCTTGGCTGACTTTGTCGCGGAAATGACCACTCACGACCCTCCCCCGGGGAAAGAACACAAGTGGACCATCTTCGTCGACGGAGCATCCAACTCGTCCGGAAGCGGCGCAGGAATCCTCCTGGAAAACGAAGAAGGCGTAGTAATCGAGCACTCCTTAGCTCTCTCCTTCCCGACGTCAAACAACCAGGCAGAATACGAAGCCCTGCTCGCAGGACTGAGACTGGCCGAGGACCTGGGAGCCCGCAAGGTACAGATCTACACCGACTCCCAGCTCGTCGCCTCTCAAGTACAGGGGAGCTACCAGGCCAAAAACGACAACCTCATAGAGTATTTGAACTTAGTCAAAAAACACATGACAAAGTTCGTACGAGCAGAAATTTCACATGTTCCCCGCGAGCAAAACACGAGGGCGGACATATTATCCAAACTTGCGAGCACACGAAAGAAGGGCGGGAACAAATCCGTCATCCAGGAATCTCTAGCGCGTCCAAGTATCGAACGACCCTCGACTACAGTCGTGATCCATGCCATCGGGGATGCTACGTCCTGGATGACCCCGATTTATAATTTCCTGACAAAAGGAGAACTCCCGTCGAACCAGGCCGAAGCTACCGTCACCAAGCGACGAGCATGTTTCTACGTGGTTCTCGAGCAGAAACTGTACCGAAGAGGATTCTCCATCCCCCTCCTGAAATGCATCGACGAGTCCACCGTCCCCGAAGTACTGCGGGAGATACACGAAGGGATCAACGCCTAGCACATGGGCGGTAAATCCTTAGCAAGGAAAGCCCTTCGAGCAGGATACTACTGGCCGACGATGCAGCAGGATGCCAAGGAACACGTCAAAAAATGTGATAAGTGCCAGAAACACGGGGACATGCACCTCGCCCCTCCGCACGAGCTGAGCATATTGTTGTCCCCGTGGCCGTTCACCTGGTGGGGTATGGACATCCTCGGGCCCTTCGTGCAAGGAACCTACCAGAACAAATTTCTCATCGTCGCCGTGGATTACTTCACAAAATGGATCGAGGTCGAGGCCCTCGCAAAAATCACCTCACACAATATCCTCCGTTTCTACAAAAGAAACATCCTCGCCAGATTCGGAATTCCGCGGGCCCTGGTGACCGACAACGGTACCCAATTCACCGACCACGGGTTCCAAGACTTCGTCACCAAACTAGGTACAAAACAACATTTCACGTCGGTCGAGCACCCTCAGACCAACGGGCAAGCCGAAGCCGCGAACAGAGTCATCCTTCGAGGACTCAAACGTCGACTCGGCGAAGCCAAGAGGGGATGGGTCGAGGAGCTCCACAGCGTCTTATGGGCATACCGCACCACGCCCCACTCAACAACGGGCGAGACGCCATTTCGACTGACATATGGCACCGAGGCCGTTATCCCGGTCGAAATCATGGAACCATCCAGACGAACAGAGAACCCCCTCGACGAAGAAATGAACGACGAGGCACTAAGGGACGAACTCGACCTAGTCGAGGAAATCCGATCGGGTGCAGCCCTGCGCGAAGCCACCCTAAAACAACGAGTGGCTCTACGCCACAACGACAAGGTCGTCAAGCGCGAGTTCGAAATCGGCAGCCTGGTATTACGTAGGAACCAGAAGGATTCCCGCGAAGGGAAGCTGGCCGCGAACTGGGAAGGACCTTATCGCGTCCACGACACCACTAGTACCGGGGTGTACTATCTCGAGCAATTAGACGGAGAGCCATTACCACGACCCTGGAACGCTGCTAAGCTAAAGCAGTACTATAGTTAAAAACTACCAACACCTGGGACCCTCGACCAATGGCACCCGCGCTCGGTCAACGAGGAAAAACGTTCGACTTTGTATAAAGGCTGAGGTACAAGCCCGACATATGGCTAAATCACACAACATCGCTCGACAAACGAGGATAATCGATAGTGCCCGACGTGGATAGCTACACCGAGCACCACCGTCGTAGTACCCGTAAGGCAGAACACCCAGCTCGCGATGGGCAGTTCACGCCAAGGGCGAATAATCCCTATCGGGCTTCGCGCCCGACTGAGCAACTTCGCTCCATATGCCCGACAAGTCGTCAAGAATGACGGGCCATCTAAAAGGGTCAAAGGGAAGTCTCTCCCCTCGAGCGCAACACTTAGGTGACTCTGGTCAGCGAAAGAAGGTCGGGCACATATACAAACGAAAGACGGACAGACTCGCCCGCTAAATCACAGCCACTTACGGGCACTCCTCGGGCCCGTGACTTAGGCTAAATTTTATGCAAATATATAAGATTTCAAACACGGGCAAAACATTCAAATGTAAAACAGCATTCATTCAAATAAAAATGCCCGAAGGCGACAAAGCAAACAATTATAAACCGACCAAGAAGGCCGGCGATGTTCATGACGTACAACCAACGGGCACGCAGGCCCAAAAAATATAAATATCAAAGGCACGCAGGCCCGCTATCCTACAATCAGGCTTCCCCAGAACCATCATTGTCGACAACTGGAGAGTCGGGCGGGGGCACGATCACGCCATCCACGATCTGATGTGTGTGGCCCGTCCCCTCAGTGACCAAACCAGGGTTTAACAAGGAAAGCTGGCCGACTACAGAGTCGAACCCCTCCTCCAGAGCACCGACGCAATCTGCCTCGAGTAGCCGGATATGGGCGACCAGCTCCGATCGACTCTTCAAAGCCGCTATGTCCTCCGGCTCGTCCTCGGCAGGAAGCATGGCGACTCTCATGTCCTCGATTTGTTGGGTCAAGCGCCCGATGTCGGTCTCCAGACGATTCCTGTCCGCACGGAGAAGCTCTCCCTCCTCGGCCAGCTTCCCCGACCTTTCTTTCTCCAGGACCAACATCTCCCTCTCAGCATCCAGCAGCACTGCCTGCTCGCGGAACATCTCCTCGGAGCGTTCCAAGGCAGTCCTTAACTTCCATGAGCTCGAGGTGAGAGCCACTTTCTCCTGCTCAAGTTCTTCAATACGGACAGCATCCCCCTCTTCCTCGGACAACACCAGGGCCATTTCGGCCATTTTCACCAGCCCGTCCATGCTGGCGGCCAGATGCCTCTTCCGATCCTCCTTACTCATCCTCTTGATAGTCTCAGCCTCGTCGGCAACCACGGACAGAGGAAATCTCTCGAAGAAACCCTCCTCTTTGAAGCAAGGGGGGAACCCGAAAGATCTGACGGCGCTGGTGTCCTCGCTGACAGTCGGGCCGCTTTCCACCCGGGTCCTCTTTCTTTGTATCAGGTTGGCATTAGAATCGACCTCTTGAACCTCTGGGATCTCGTCCGACGCGGCCCCCGAGCCGGGCGACGAATCCACCCTCACCACCTGAGGAGCGCCCGGACTATGTGGCGGGCCCATCCTCGTCGCCTGGGGAGCCTTCACGACCCTCCTACCCCGCTTCTGATCACAAGACAGCTTCAAGAGTCTTTCCCTTCGACCAGCCATCGAACCTGCACAAAATAAAAGACGGGTTAGTGTCGAGCAAGTTCATAAATAGATGACGAGCAAAGAAATTCAAGCAATAAATGACCTAGCAGACGAGCAGCCTGCCTGAACGTCTGACACTCCACGAGTGCCTTAGTATCAATCGGTCGGGACTCAAATGTCGGATAACCCTCTGCATCCAAGACATCTTCCCCTTCCCTCGTGGCCCATCGGGCAGGGTGGAAGTTGTCGACGAACCGACAAAGAGTGGCGTATGCCTCCTCGTCCTCCGAACACATGTCGCCCGCAGTGGTATGATAGTATCCAGTCCCGTGCTCGTAGTGCCTGAACATCCAATGCACAAGGAACTTGGCTGTACGGGCCATCACGGGATACCCATCGTTGTCTAAGACTGCCTCCCCGTCGTCATCGCTTATGGGCGCCTCCTCCTCGTACAGGGATCCTAAAGCAGACGTGGTAACTGGCCGCACGACATACTACTTGTCTTTAAAACCCCTTACGGAGTCCATGTACATTTTGAATAGTCTCCTCGACTGCTTTAAGGAGACCCAACTGTGTTTCCCTCCTCGGGACTGGCGCTGCAGATGAAAAATCCTGAAGAAGAGCGGTATGGTCGCCCCGATCCTCAGAAAGCGACATGTCAGCTCAAACGCCCGGATAAAGGCGAGTGAGTTCGGGTGTAGCTGCGACGGGGCCAGCTCCAGATGGGCGAAGACCCCAGTCTGAAAGTCACTGAAGGGCAGCTGCAGCCCAAGACCTTTGAACGCGATCTCGTACATCGGGAAGCTATACTCTGGGTACACCGAGCAGATCCGGGCACGGGAGGTCAGACGCGTGACAACGAAATTCTTTTGGAAATCAGGCTGGCCCTGGCCCGCTTCGAGGACAACATATGACTTTCGGTCACGCCGGCTATATATCGACGCAATTCCTCGGGGCTCGACGCCCACCCAATCCAGCAAAGGGTCGTTGACAGTATCAATCAAGCTCACCGCCTCATCGGCACTTTGTTCCTCATGTTCGTGGCGTCCAGAGGAGCACGGCTCGTCCGCCATGGTTACCTGCAGAGCACGGGAAACCAGTCAATTGGGCACGAAACCATACACTCGACGTAGCGGACCGGGTGTAGTGTACGACAAACCACGTCGTCCCATGCACGATCACAAAAGTTAGTTTGCAACAAGCAGTCGCCTCCCCGACATCCAGATAACTCGATGTGTCCTTCTCCAAACCGACTACGCGACCACTCTCCAACATGTCGACCCAAGGTATGAACATGGCGAGCAACATCATGAAACCTGCGGCCAGGACCATGAACATACCGGGCACGATCATGAATCAGGCGCCCTGGATCATGAAGACCCCGGACAGCGCTGCAGATTATTACCTAAAACTATGAATCTACCGGCCACGAGCATGTGTTTGCCGGCCCTAAGCATGAATATGTCGAGCTAAGCATGAGTTTACCGGGCTAGTCCCACGCGCACAGTCCCTAAAACGTCTACAAACGCTGAAAATCATGCATTACAACAGGAAAATAGAGAAGATAAGCCACTTACTTGGAATCAAGAGGTGGATTCGGCTACGGAGGAAAAGAATCTGTAACGGAGATCGCAGCTATGAAAAATCTGGAAGAACAGCAGCAGTAGGAGCGCAAAGAGTAGAAACGAGTTATGGGGCCCAAGGATCCTATTTATAGTGGTGACGTGAAATACCAAACGTCACCTCGGGCAACCACGGAGTTTCTCTCCTCGACGCACTGCTCCCAACGCAATGATGACCCTATCATCATAGGGTGGCGGCACAGTTCCCGAAAGATACCTCGTGTTCTTGACAGACACGCGCCAGTGAGGATCCTCCGAGCATCCACCGCGAAAGATTTGTCTCCGAGCACGACACAGAGAGGCCCCCGAGGGCCTGCATCTCTGACCCGGGCGCGAGACCCCGAAGCGGAAACGACCTGAGTTCAAGCCATGGCTCCTAAACAAAGGAACCACGACTTGGGGGGCTCCTGTTCTGGACTAGGCCCGACAGGCCCAATAGCATTGCTAAGGCCCAATCCAAATGGACTTGCTGAGGACCACGCCGACCAAAGGGTCACAGTCGTGCCCGACGTGCTCCCTGAGGTCACTTGCTCGACCTCTACATCTCCAGCTCGACATCCTGCTGTCCAGCTCGACATCACCTCGAGCACCCCAACTAGGGCAGACTCAGTCCACTGCACTCCCAACGAGACCCCGAAAAGACCGCGTCTCCGTCCGCCCGCACTTCACGCAGAACATCCAGGAAGGGGACCACGTGCGGGTCCCCACTACGCACGTAGAACCTGGCAGTTCCTCCATTGGGCCAAACCTGCCCGGCCCAAGGAAGGAACCTTGGCCCAGCGCTGGGGGCTATAAATACCCTCTGTTTCCAGAGGGTCAGGTATTCATCATTCTACCCATACACTTGCTATTACCTGCTCGTGCTTCTACTTACTTCAGCATCGGAGTGTCTTGCAGGTACCCCCCCCACCTCGTTCAAAAAGCTTTCAGCTCGGAGCCAGCCGTGACGGTCCATTTCTGATCAGATCAGATCAATAAGTGATGGTATACTTGAGACTTTACTTAATGTTTGGTTTGTATTATCAAATTGATGACAATATAAACTTAAGTGTTGCTACTCGGTATCAATTTATAAGTAAAAATTTAATATTTCACATTTATTAAGAAAATTTAAATTTTTATGTCTTTTTAAAAATATGTTTTATAGAAAGATGTAAAAATAATTTTGATTGATTGTTGTTTATAGAAAAAATAAGAGAGAAACTAAATTAAATGAAATTTACATTTAATTTTATCTTAGAAAAGATGAATTTTTTAGAATAAAATGATTAAATAACATAAAATTGATGTTTTTTTTGTTTATAATTTGTAAAAAAAAAAAAAGAATGTTTTTTTCGTATAAATTGATATATAGGAGTAGAATGCTACCGAAAAAATGGGGTTACCGGTTTAGAACCAGTTCTAAACCGGATTCAAGAAAGCAATTGGGTTTGGTTTTAAGAAACTGTTTTAAAATATGGTGTGTTTCATATAAAATTTGTAAAATTTGGTAAACGTGAGAAAATATATCCGGAGATAAGGAAGGAGTGTCCTCACTCCCATCAGGGGCTAAGGTAATCCACCAATTTCTTCCTTTTCAATTCCATTTTCAGATATTGATCACTGCTTTCATCTTCTTCCCTTTCCAATTATTAATAATCATTTTCTATTTTGGAATTGATGGATTTGATGTTTTCATACTTGTAGGATAATGGATTTCATAGGTGTAGCTCGCAACTTGTATCATATTATTGTTACAGTAAGTATTCAACTCGTAGGATAACGAATTTTATAGCTTTTCGAGTTTTTCTAATTTGCAACAAATTTGGGAATTCTGTGATATTCTGCAACTAATTCTCAAGCTCAACACTTATTTGAGTATATTTTAATTCTAATTTATTATTTTTGTACAGATTGCATGTCTTGTGCTTCAATTACTATGGTACTTTCTACAAATAATTGTTAGCACATGGTATTACATATTAGCAGTGGGTAATTTGTTGGAAAGCTATTTCATCTCTTATGGACTACTGAAAAAATACAAGTCTCTTCCTATAGGAAAGCTTCGGTATCTTGCCATTGTCATAGAGAGTGAAGATGCTTATCAGACTTCAAAGGTTGTTAAACTTTTGCAATGGCTGGACTCGGTTGGTGTTAAAAATGTATGCCTCTATGACATGAATGGTACGAAAAGTTCGGATGGTTAGTGGTAGTAAACTTTCTTTAACTTGGGGTGTATGGTAATGTTTTCTTTGAGTTTCATCTCTATATTCTAGGAGTGTTGAAAAAGTCGAAGGTGGCCATATTTCAAGAAATGAAGAATGCAAAATCCATAGAGGTAACATGTTATTATTAAGGTTCTTTTGAGTAGTTAGTGTGTCTCATTCATTTGATCTGATCTAGCTTAAACTCGGTGTAGGAGGTGAGGGAAGCTGTGACAGACCATGTAACCGATCACATGACCCTAGAATTTGTTTCTTATGTTGATGGGAAGGAAGCAGTGGCCAAAGCAGCTAACTTGATTTTTGTTGAGAATTCAAAGCGACATAACTTAGGTGGAGAACTGGATTGCCAGATATTGTTAGAGTCTCACCTGAATCAGGCACTGCAAATTGTTGGTAGGTTTCCTTACTAAACTCGTCATTGGTTTAAACTTCAAAATGTTTAGTTCCTTTTGCTATATAACATTATTTGGCTAACAACGATCTTATTTTTCTGTCAGGTTGTAAAGGCCCTGAACCTGATCTTTTACTGGTTTATGGACCTGTTAGGAGCCATCTTGGTTTTCCTGCATGGAGAATTCGGTATACAGAGATAGTGTAAGTTGTTTCTAGGATGTTGACTAATGTGATATAGTGTGTTAAGTTGCATTTTGTACATAGCTTCGTTTTTCGTTTTTTAGTTGAATAGATTCGGACTAATGTTCCTTGCAGGCATATGGGATCTTTGAACTTCATGAGACATGGTTCCTTAATTAAAACCATTTACAACTTCACAAAAGTGCACCAAAATTATGGTAAGTTTTTTCAGTATCTGCCATAGTTTGACTCCCGAAACATTTTTTAGATTAATTTTAATTATTATTTTCATATCCATATTCATTTTGTTATATCTTGTATGTATGATGTTGCCTTTAAACTATAGGCAGAGTTAGTATAAAGTATGTTGTATTCTATTTTATTACAATTTTTTTTGGGGGATTGATAACAGGTACATAGAAAAGGAAATGAATCAGAAGCAAATTAACTTTGCAAGTCCAAAGCATAGGCGCGTGATGAGTAGAAAAATACCTAGCTAAGCATCTTGGAGGAAGGGTTTCTCGCTAGTAACGTGTAAATTGTAAACTTCATATTTTAGAAAACGTGTATGGTAAAGTTTAAGCGCACTTTTGTATTAACTTCATATTTATCTTACAATGTTTTAAGAAACTTGTAAGCTTAATGTTTATGTAATGTTTTTGGGCCAAGTACAGTAGAGGTTTTCTAGGAAAGTTGTAGAAAAATACAAGAAAAATAAAATGATCTATATTTATATATTAGGTTTTGTAAGAAAACGTAATTGTTAAAAGGCCTTCAGTTATTTGAGTTATTATAGGTGATTGCTTAATTTGTCTCTGAAAAATGCGACATTTCATTGAGACATTTATACAATCAGTCAGCAGTATTAAAATACAACTAACGTTTTGGTTTTAATATCTCCAAAACTTTATGCACTGCCTTGATATCATTGATGCTATCCTCTTGTTGTGTAAGAGAACTCTGAGTATGATGATTACAGAGGGATGTCATCCTAATAGTGAGCTATTTAATTCTCTTGTACATACTGTAAATGAATAGGATATCTGGTCTATAATATATTGATTGGTAGTATATGTAGCAATGAGGAACAACCTAGCTCGCATATTTTGGAATTGGCGGAGAAAGCTTATAGTGAGATGCTTGATTCAGGGGTTGTATTAAATAAGGTCAGTGTCAGCAATTTTGCACGGTGTCTTTGTGGAGCTGGAAAATTTGATTAAGCTTTTAATCGGTTGTTTGTTTAAAGATAACCGGTTGGATCTTGTTTTGAAAGTGTTATTGAAGATGCTAGAGAATTCTTGCACTCCAAATGTTGTTATTTACAGAGAGATGGTTGATGGCCTCTGTAAAGTTGGAAAAACAGATGAACCTTACAAGCTCATGCTCAAGATGGAAGAAAAGGGCTGCAATCCAAATGTTATAACCTATACTGCAAAGATTGATGGCTTTGGGAAATTAGGAAAAACTGAACAGTTGATATAATTAACTGCTATGAAGTAAGCTGCTTCATTATTTTAGCAATCCAATCGTTTGCAAACACAAACTGTGCTGATTTAAAAGATTGATTTTTGGGCAGACATTTGCTTTGCATGTTGATCCTTTTGACATTCAAATGTATTATTCTTTATTTATGCTTTCTGTTTTTCTTGTTTATCCTGTTTGATAAATTAGAAATTGTATAATATTGAGTCTGTACATAATGGTATATCATGTAGGAGTAGGACTCATGTTACACCAACTAATCACTTGTGCTATTACATTAGTCAAATATGCAAGCATGGTTAAGATTTAGTTCTTAATCTCGTTTAGTTTGAAGTAAAAGTCATCTTCATGTGTTATATTTATTGTCTATTTTTTTAAATTGGTGGGACGAATTGCATCTAACGGTTAGTGTGATTCACATGCTTTGAATTTTTCAAGTGCAATATTCATCAATATCTTCTTTGTTCTAGTACTGCAACATCTTTCCAACAATCATAATATCCAAAAAATGTTAGGTTCAATTCTTACTTAATGAATAGCAGCAGGGGGCGGATCCAAGGGTTATAGGGTATTTCCTTGAATACCTTAAATGTATAGAAATTTGTCCATACGATATAAGCTTTGGAATCTCATACAAGAGGTCCCAGGATTGAAACTTGTAGTAGGTGGATTTTGCTCATTATGTTTTTTTTATTACACTTCAATTTTTTAATTTTTTATCTCCCACTCTTTTAACTCTTTTTTCTTACTGCACTACTTCTACGTTTAACAAAACGAAAGAAAAAACCTTTCCCTTAGCCCAGTTGGCAGCTGTGCAACACTGTCCAGTTGTCGCGTCTCTCTGACTCCGGCCAAACAAATTACAGCGTCTTCTAGCCTCCAGGTTCATCCTTATTCTAATTTTCAATTTCTGATCTATAATATAAATTGTAAGTTGTAATTGTAATTGTGATTTGAATTGTAAAATTAATTGGACTCTGATTGTGGTTGTGTTTGTAGAATGTTGCGCAAATACTTTGCACCCGAATTGAGATTTCCAGAGCCAAAGAAGCTTACTCCTTCAAATGGGTAGCCCGAAGAACCTTCTTCGATTCCCTCTTCAAATGACGTACAACCAAAATCTTGTTCTTCATATAAGGTGTTTAAAAAAGGGACTTATTTGGAGACATATCTTGAAAAAAGAAGTCAAACTCTTGAGTATCATCAAAATGATCAAAATGAGGTAAAAAGAGCTTACCTTGTGAATGTGTCATGTAAAATTAAATTAATTGAATATGAACTCACAGATATTGGGGGAAGGGATCGTTCTTTTCAATACAGTTGGCATGAAGAGTATGATTGGTTGGAATATAGTGTAGAATCTTTGGGGAGAAATAGTGAGAAAATAACTGCAGAAATAACAAGTGATGGAGGAAATTGTAAGGTGACTTCTCCTGTTATTCAAAAAGAACATGCAAATGCATATGTGATTGAAACTATTAAGAAGATAGTTGGAGAAATTGGATATGGTTTCTTTTGTGTTTTTGTTGATGAATTTGGTGATTGCTTTGGTAAAGAACAAATGGTTGTTGTGGTGAGATTTGTTGATGTTAGAGGGTTTGTTGTAGAAAGATTTATTGGCATTGTTCATGTTGAGGATACAAGTGCAATAAGGCTTAAAGGGGCTCTTGAATCTTTGTTATCGGGGTTTAGGTTATGTATATTTAAAATTCTAGATCAAGGTATGGTTTGAAGACTTTGATTCAAAAGCAAAATCCGTAAGCCTATTATGTCTATTGTTTTGCTCATTAACTTCAATTGGCTCTTGTTTCAATGACAAGAAAACATGAAGATGTTGATTGTTTTTTTTTTTAAATGTCTCGTATTGTTACTTTTTTACGGTCATATAATAAAAGACAAGCTCTACTTCGAAATAAACAAGTTGTTTATTTTTCAAATCTAATTGAAAAAGAATCGGTGGAAATTGGTACTGATTTAAATCAAGAGGTGTCCATTGCAAGAGCGGGTGATACACGTTGGAGATCTCACTTTCAGAATCTTAATAGATTAATTGATTTGTTTACTCGTATTATTGAAGTGTTCAAAGATTTGAAAAGTAATAGTCATGCTAAGGGTGATCTAAAAAGTTTGTTACTTGTTATGTAAACTTTTGGTTTTATTATTATTATTATGGGAATACCCTGGTTATTTTATCCTGGCTCCGCTCTTGAATAACAACATCCAACTTTGTGAATTTGAATATGTTTGATGGAGGTAACTTTGTTTGTTGGAAAAAAAGATGAAATTCTCGTCTACAACTTTGGAAGTGATGCATGTTCTAAATATCACAAGACCATTTGAAAGGAAAGAAGAAATAATAGAGGAAACAAGGAAGAGACAAAAAGGAGACAACGATGACTGCATTTGCATGGATTATATTCTCAATGGTACATCTGACTTCTTATTTGATATCTATCAAAGCAGTCAATCTACAAATGATCTATGAGATAAACTATAATCAAGATACATGCAAGAAGGTGTTACAAATAAGATATTTCTTGATTTCCATTTCAAAAATTATAAAATGATAGATAATAGACATGTTATGGAACAGTTACATAAAAATGTATTTTCATTAATTACAAATACACATGGACGAAACCATCATTTTGTCTGACATAATAGACAACTCTCACCTTCATAGAAGGATATTAATCTGGATTAGGCCTGTACTTGTCCCCTAGCCGGGAAGCCCAATCCAACACCATTGTATAAGGCCCAAAAGCAAGCAATCCAAGTTAGGAATCGTTGGGCAACTCCCCACACATCCGTTGGGGAACATGGATCACGTCTCCACATCATAGTCATCTTAATTGCTCTCTGGAAATCACGGGTCCAACCCCCATTTTCACGGAGCAGTTGACTAGGGGGGAGTTTACTTGCTGGACTCTATACACACGTAAGCCCTGACAGTTTCTATTATTAGGCCGCAACGTGACCCAACAATGGGGACCTTGGCCCAGCGTCAAGAGCTATAAATACGCTCTCTTCTAAGAGGGTCAGATATTGAAAAATTTCCCACTCTCTTGCTAGCTCATTCCGAATCTCACTTTGACATCAGAGTGTCTTGCAAGTACCCCCACCTCAGTTTCAAGTTCTGCTCGACGTAAGCTGTGACGGTCTATTCTGGTCAGGTACGACCAGTGGCGCCGTCTATGAGAAACACCATTTCCCCGTCTTCATTCATCCAAGACAAAAGCTAATCCAACTCCTTTCTGACTGTCATGGCTGATCACATGGCAGAAAATAACATGAATGTCCATCTCGTCGACGTCAACAACAATGTCACCGACCACGACATCAACATCAACAACACTGGTCTCGCTGGCCTCAACACCGGTAACAATAACAACACCGACAACAACAACGGCCACGCCGGGAGCATGCCCGACCCTTCGGAGTACAAAGACGGGCTGACTGACTCTTCGTCATCACTGTCCTGATGACTCAAAGACGACCATCATCCTCTCTAGAACTATCAGCCTCCCGCGTTCCAGGAGGTCCCTGTTCCTGCGGGTGCTGATGCCACGACCAGGGCGTTGTTCGCGGCAATAAATCAAACAAACTACTTGATCTTTTCACAAGGGGAGAGATTAAGGACGCTCAAAGATTCTCGGAGAGCCCCCAGAATATATAGGAGGTCTGATTCTCCTCCTCCCCATCTGACAAAGGACCGTTCCCAATCTCCCCCGCGGAGACGCAGACGGGATGCCTCTAGAAGCCCCTCCCCTCGACCAATCGGGCGACGCCCCATGTTGGAGAGGGATCAACCTGTAGATACGGGGATATGCGATCACCCCCCCTGCATCAAGAGCAGAGACCCCCTGGAAACAGGAACAGGGGAAACGACGAACAACCACACCGCCCGAGGAATCCTCCACGCGACCAGGGTCGTCATCACGACCGCCACTATAACAGGTCGTCTTCTCAATCTCCGAACAGAAGCGATAAAGATGATCCCCGCGGTCCCCTATCACAAGCTATTATGGAGGCACACATTCCCCCGGGTATGGAGAAACCTCCCCATCTTAAGGAGTACAACGACATTGCCGATCCAGTCGACCATATCGACGGGTTCGAGGCAATGCTGCATTATCATAACGTCGGGGGACCGATCAAATGCCGATTGTGTTGGCTAAAGATTTTGATGATACAGTTTGAAACGAAGCAAGCTGGATGTTTCGTTGGAATAAAGCAAGATGTCATGGTTCGGAATGGTAGAAGCAGTTCTTCGAATGAACATGTCAAAGCTCGGAGCTTCGAGTGACAGTTGTGAAGATATAGTTAAAAGAAGCCTCGAAGTGGTAATGAGACTGTGTTTAAGAAAGGAGTTCGAAGCGAAGAGTGCCAAAACATTTGAAATTCAAACACAAGCGGGATGTTCGAAATTTAAAATATATGCGCTGGAGCATTCGAAGACGCGTGGAAGCTAGAGAGGGGCAGTGCTCTGCATGTTCTGAACGTGGCAAAATCTTATAGGCAAGACCGTTATGGTCGAAGTAGTATAAATAGAAGTCTTAGCGTTAGGATTTCGTGTGTCATATCTATTGTACAAAATTCAGTAAACATTCAAAATACCACATGGCTAGGGAAACGAATGCTCGAACAATGTACGTATGATAACACCAAATATTTATGATTCGGTAAAACTCTTTATCATTTCCAGTTTATCTTCTATCTTCATGTCAATATCATTCAAAAGCCTTTACATTAAAATCTTTTCATTCAAAGTCATTTACTGATTTCTTGCATTTGAAAGTCTTTCCTTCTATTTCGAGTACTTTACATTACAGAAACTCTTTTACATTTCACGCTTTTATCTTCATGCTTTCCTCATTCGAATATCTTTCCATTCAAAGTCATTTACTGATTTCTTGCATTTAAACGCTTTCTTTTTGTTTCGAATCCTTTACCTTTCAGAAACTTTTATACTTCAAAGTTATTTACTTGTTTCTTGCAGT